CGTGGTTCAACGCACGCATTGCCACTTAGAATAACAATGGCTATTCCAGGTTACAAAGGACTCTTTAGCACCCTGGTTAAATCAAAAGTCAGTGGCCTAGGATGACTTTCTGGGGCATTATGCTAAGCTCTAGATTGTCAAATAGCATTCTTTCTGAACTTAAGACATTATTTGGGCTCAGCGTCTGTTTTCATCTTGAGGAACAGGAAAGTTCCACCCAATGTCGAACATTTGCCTTTACAGAAATCATGTCCTGGAAACGACACACGTCATAACCTGAGTGCAGGACATGAGCTCTGCGGAAACGTATTAGCAAAATATGTTAACATGAAAGGCACAAACTGTGAGTGGTATCATATGATATTAACATTTCAGGTTGCGGTGAGCTTATTTGCCTCAGAAAAAGAAACAGGGGTTACGCTTTCGGTGGACGTCGCACCAATTAACCCGACAGCGCCCAGTCAGTGCCCCTGTATGCTTTTAATCAGAATATTTACAACAGTTCTGAAAAAACCTTGGAATTGACGCAAAAACTTCGGGGGACGTGCCTGTTGTGTCATTCAACAGTGTTCCGGCGCGGCGTGGGTTAATTTTTGGCAACTGGCTTGATGCGGGGGGGGGGTCGAAATTAATCCTCAAGTGAATATTTTGGTGAATTTGGGTGAATGTCATCTCATGAGAAGTTTACAGGTACTTGGAAGAGTCGTAATGCGTATTTATAAATGATGGATGAGTTCACTTGAAGGCTGACGTGTTGCAAAGTGGTGCTATTCGCCAGCCGAAATTCTAGTAAGTGATGTATTTCTCAGTTAGCTTTATGACTGATGTCATATGCATGCATGCACTATGCGAACAACACCAATATTGCCGTAGCAGATCCAGTCACAATCGCATCAGGAGCAATTCTGGTCGCCATGACGGAACTGGACTTAAGTGAAATTCGCACTACAAGAAGTGACCCATGAACATGCATGGTAAGTCTAGATCCTGCACACACCTCGAGGAATTCATATTTGAAATAATGAGTGAATTGCCAGATCGGTGTCCCGTTGGCACAGCAGTTGCAAATTCACTTCGTTATGAAGAGAGCGGCAGAACCGTCGGATCTAGGCGTCTTATCGCGCAGGTGCATTGATAGCTAAAGCGTCGTGTATCCTCGACGAGCAGGGGACCGCGGACCGCTCACCGCGAGTTACCGTGGTATAAGGCTGCATAGCACGACATGGATTCACTGGTACTATCTGGCCAGTCGACTGGGCGGAAATGTTTCATATAGCTCAGACCGCTTGATTGGCGGCGTCATTGCTAGTGCAACAACCTGAAATAATCAGGACACTGTCATTCAGTAGAATAAGTCAGCAAACTGAATCTATGAAATCAAAAATATGTGACATGGTGACTTCCCATCGCAATTGTCACCGTGGCTGTTGTTGGCTACACTAACTGCTGCAGGCAGACATGTGGCTGGCTGGCATGCTATCAGGTTTTGGACACGTTGCGGTGTATATTTTTATCATTGTTATTGCCGTGTTTTACCGCAGTTCTCAGACAAGTGCGTCGTGGTTGCAACTTTTGGTCTCAGGTTAAAATTAGGCACCAGCTTTAGCAAGCAAGGAGGCATCGGTTTTGCTTTGATATATGAATGCACGGTAGCAGTACACTCAAAAAGTCTCCAAAGGTTCTCGCCCGTGCTTATCAGGCCAAGCCATTTTGCATGACACTGTCTTTTGGTCCTTGGGCTACCTTCGATTCGTAATTAACGACATTTACTCATTTTGATCACCAGAGCTCGAATTCCTGAGATATTTCTTTGCTGTGAATTATAACCCTTTCAAGACCTTTCACGAATGCGTAGGTGCGCACCGCCCTGCAATGGAGAGCGATTCCTTCGCAGCAAAACAAAATGGAATCGACAAGATATACTTTTAAGTTGCAAACTTTTGGCATCGGAGACATAAATAAAGTTGTCGAAATACGTGGAGAAATCAGGTTTTGGGCACAGGTTAGGTAAACCTTATCGTCTTACCACCTCAACCGGTTTTAGAAAATGACCCCCCTCCCCCCCCCCCTGCTGAGAAGGATATTTATTCTACCCATCATCTTATTGCTTTTTGACTAGTTTATTCCAGTTAACGTCTCTAGCACTAATGCAAATTTCCAGAAAAGTTTAGTGGGGCGGTGTACAGCCCCCTTCCTGGCACCAATACTTGCCAGAATTACTAGAAAGTAGAAAGTTTCATTAGGCGTATTCTGTCATAGACGCCTCATGGGAAATTCTGTTCAAGTGGGAAGTGTGGATGAACACTGGTGGCTGACATGAACTGCAGGTAGAATCCTGGTTCTTATTAGTCATCATGATATCACTCCATTCCGGATATTGGCTCTTGCGAGATCCTTGGAATAATGCCAGACCGGACCCTGGGTCTTATTTGGTATCCGACCATATTCCAGGCTGAATTTGGGTTCTTGCTGGTTCACCGTCATAAATCCAGGCCGGATCTTGTTTCTTGTTGGATCCGTCTGCATATTCCAGGCTCCAACAAGAACCTATCTGGGTTCTTGTTAGACCTCTGGGTTTAGCGGCAAACTGGATGCTGGTTCACACTGTTTCTTTCCAAGCTGGATGCTGGTTCACACTGTTTCTTTCCAAGCTGGATCCTGGTTCACACCGCTCCTTTCCAAGCTGGATGCTGGTTCACACTGCTCCTCTCCTCAACACAATTCATAGATCTCTGGGCTTAGTGGCAAGCTGGTTGCTGGCTCACACTGCTCCTCTCCTCAGCACAATGCAGTGAGCCTTTGGCGTGATACCAAAGTGGCTGCTGATTTGCTCTTAATTACGGCACTATGAGCCAGGATCCGGCTCCCGGCAAGATATCTAGGGAAGCAAGAGGATGCCTGGCTCCAAGCAACTGTGGTGAACTGCGCATTGCTGCTGAAGTTCTGGTGTGGGAATACCGATAGCGTCATGGTTTTACTGCGGGTACGGGAGACCAGGGGTTCGATTGCCGGCGGTGCACGCTTCTCCTACTAGGATGAGAGGTAGGCGACGTGTAGCTTCAGCGGCTGAGTGCGCGCCGTAAAGCTCCAGTGACAGGAACAACGGACTGGTGTGGCGTAGTCTTCCTTCACTAACGCGGAAAGACAACGATGGAGCGCGCTGGCGGCGATGCCGCGTCAATGACGCCTCGTAGTAGGCCGAAGCCAGAGCCCGTTACCCAGGCTACCCAGGTCAATAGGCGCGCGCTGACAGCTGGCGCGCCTATAAAACGTGTGCATCAAAAAGGTAGATTGAAGCGACCATGCTGGTATGACTACACACTGTTTATTTCATGATCCCGAACACATCAAATGGAATGAGAACTCATCACCAACACAGGTGACCGGAGGTGTCTATATGCAACGTTCACTACACACCACCCACATAAATGAATCACTTGTGGCGTACATTATGTTTGTCAATGGGCTCTCCGATGCGTCGCGATTTCTACAAGACCGTATGGCCTTATTCACTTAGTCATCAAATCACCCGGCACATCACCGAGGGTTAGAGAGAGTAATACCAAGTGAGCATCTGATCGGTAAGTAACGATCTCGTTACGCTCTGCACGCATTTATAATGTCACTCAGCATTTCAGGACGTCGTACTTCCCGTGTACAGCTGGATACGGTACACGAAACAGTGCGCGCACATCAAAGAACGTCAGATCGCTTTCAATGCATTCTGTGTAATAACCTCGATCGTGCAGCGATTATTGGATGTCTTCACTATATCTACCTGATGATTTCTCACGACAGGTGCCCACGGGGTATCCCCGTCCGGCGCCGTGCTACCAACCTCCATGTTCTGCCGCTTACTGCGGGCCGGCCGGCTGTCCAGCTCCCGCGTGTCCGGTCGCTGGGTGTCCGGCGCCGGGCAGCTCGGGCCCCGGCAGTGGCTCGAGGCCCTGCACGCTCCGCTGGGCGGCGGTCAGCACCGGCGCCACCTCCCCGTCCAGCAGCAGGCCGGCCTTGATCAGCTTGACCTCGAACGTGTCGCCGACGGGGCGCGGCGCGAGCGCGCTCAGGGCGCGCTGGTGGGCGCGCAGGTCGGCCTGCACGGCCGCCGTGTCGTGCGCCGGCGGCGGCGTGGCCGTGGCGGCGGCCGCGTACAGCGCCTCGAACCTGGCCTTTTCCGCCGCCACCTCTGGAGTGTCCCGTACCGGGGTGGCCTCGGTGACCGGCTCCGGCGTGAGGGGAGCTGGGGCGCTTGGGTGATACCCGGAGGGTGTCGGGGCTCCCGGGTGATGACCGGAGGAGGGTGTCGAGGCGCCCAGGTGATGTCCGGATGGGGGTGTCGGAGCAACCGGGTGATGTCCGGATGGTGTCGGAGCGACCGGGTGATGCCCGGAGGGTATCGGGGTTATGAGGTGATGCCCGGAGGAGGGTGTCGGGGCGCCCGGATGATGTCCGGAGGAGGGTGTCGGGGCGCCCGGATGATGTCCGGAGGAGGGTGTCGAGGCGCCCGGATGATGTCCGGAGGAGGGTGTCGGGGCGCCTGGGTGATGCCCGGAGGGTATCGGGGCGCCCGGATGATGTCCGGAGGAGGGTGCCGGGGCGCCCGGATGATGTCCGGAGGAGGGTGTCGGGGCGCCCGGATGATGTCCGGAGGAGGGTGTCGGGGCGCCTGGGTGATGCCCAGAGGAGGGTGTCGGGGCACCTGGCTGATGCCCAGAGGAGGGTGTCGGGGCGCCCGGGTGATGTCCGGAGGAGGGTGTCGGGGCGCCTGGGTGATGCCCGGAGGAGGGTGTCGGGGCGCCCGGGTGATGCCTGGAGGGCTGGCCACTGGGGACGCTGTGCGAGGCCGGTGCGGCGGTGGTCGTGCTGGCCTGCCATTGCGCGGGGACGGCCGTGGGACCAGCCGAGGCGCCTCCCGTGGGAGGAGAAGCGGCCGCCAACGGAATTTCGCTGGAAGGAGTGGCGCTGCTGGCGGTCAGTTGCGTCTCAGCTGTGCCGCCGTGTGCCGAACCGCCGCCGGCCGTCGCCGCGTGGGCCCGCTTCGCGCCAGCGGTCGCTTGCAGCGATGAGTGCAGCAGGGCCTGGTGTGCCCTGGCATCGTTAACGACGGCCAGTGCAGCGGCCACCAGCGCCGGGTCGGGCCCCCTGAACAGGGCCGCGGCCGGCTGCAGCGGGCCCGAGCTCAGACTGTTGGGGCCGGTGCCGTGTGCTCCGATGTACTGGGGGTTGGTGGCGGGTGCCGCTAGGGCAGTGCCGACCACCGACAGGAACGCCTGTTGGGAGGAAGTCACGGGTCACAGCGCCTGCTTTGCGGCCGACACCTACCTTTTGCGACAATATGTGTTATAGCAGATCTTATTGGAAGGCGCATGCGGCAGGGGTGATGTCCGACCACAACGTATGCCATCGGACAAGCTATCAGATTGTGGTCACTGAATTCCATTCCGCTGACAGACTTTTCATGCATTTTTGCTTCACGCTGTGCAATCATGTAACCCTACCGAGAACCTCCCTTTCCCACTACAGAGCACCGGCGTGGCGGTGCCGCGGCCGTCGCCACCGCGCCCGTGCACCAGCACTGTCACCCCTGACTCACCAACAGCACCATAGCGGGCGTGGTGGACGTGACAGGCGGCCCGTCACCGGAGCTCTGGCCACCCCCAGCCGCCCAGCCCGCTTTTGTAGCGGCGCCCGGACCCGGCCGCCCCGCGATGCTCTGATTGCGGCCGCGGGCACGCCCCGCTTCGGCGAACAGGGACGAAGCTGCGTCCCGGACGGCAGGCTGACGAGCCAACAGGCCGGAGCCGCGTGGGCCACGAAGGCGTCGTGTGCCCTCGGTCGCGTTCGGCGAGGTCGAGCGCCGCCCGTTCACGACCTCGTGACTGCGCGGGCCAGCACTGATACTGCACACCGGGTAAATGAGCCGGTGGTGCGCCTTGTGACACGAGTCTTTCTGATGCGTTGCGTTGGCTCACGCAGAAACGTTCCCATGGAGACGTTTACAGTTGCGTAGTGGGGTTGGTGTTGCGCGTCTGAAAACGTCTTGGATTGTGGGCGTCTCCCGCCGTCGTGCTGTCAGTCCCACGTTCAGATGTTTCCACCGAGCATCACATTAGTTTTTTTCTTGTTTACGCCCTGTCAACTCTGCTGTTTTTCCATTAGCGCGTTCGGCAAGTTGGGCGTACGCCCCCGCCGTGACCTATTCCTTCCCGGCGGGACATCTTTGGAAGTGGGCGGCTCAACATACCATCAAAGATCGGTGCCGACGCATCTGCTTGTCGGTCGAGAGGCCCTTGACATCGGCGGACGGAATGAGCCGCACTTCGTCAGCTGCGCCGAGTGTTGATCCGAGGCGGGCGCTCGCCCGCGAGCCCCGCAAACCAGCGACGGAAGCTGGGAGCGCTGCTTTCGCACGGGCGTAATTGTTGTCCGGTGTACTCCTGCGGCGATGACGGCACGGGCGAGACGCCCGAGGCGCGCCGGTATTGACGCGCGACCAGCCTCTGCTCGGCCAACGTCACCAGGCCGGCTACAGCGGCTCCAGGGCGACTGAAGTGGACTCCAGGCGGCTTCACTAGGCTCCAGGGCGATGACAGTGGGCTCCAGGGCGATGACAGTGGGCTCCAGGGCGTCTACAGTGGACTTTAGGGCGGCTGCACTGGGCTCCAGGGCTAATGTGGTACAGTCCACGGTGGGAATCACACATGATTGTTTATTAGACCGTCGTTGGAATCATGAATGGTTTGGTCTGAGGAACCGCTGCGAGTACGGGAGTTGAGAACGATTTCAGCTGATATCTGGGTGTTAGCGGGTACTCTGAGTCGTTCGCTGCCGCCAGCGTTACTTTGCTGCCGCAGTGGCAAACACGCCATTCCTACTGATGTCGGATTTTAATTCACTGAGTGCTCTTCCCTGAGTGGTTCATATGACCCAGTAATGTCGCGTATCTAACAGCGCGTAAAACACCGGAACAACTACTTGGTCTAAGACTACTAAGACGGCTTCTCTAAGACTAAGACAACTAGACAACTGCTCCCTCTATACTCATGAATAGCCTTGATGCATTGAGTTAGCTTAGCTCAAGCACTGAGTTCAAATACTTGAATCTATTGCTCCGCATATAAATCAACATACACCCACGTGACAAAGCCCCTAACCACCTTGGCACGCCCCGCAGCAGTCTCGTCAGCTTAGCGGGTCTAACCTCAGGAAAGCTGGGAACCGCTCTTGCAAGAAATAGACAGGAAAATGTCCTTATGATCAGATTAATGCTCGTCTCCGTTGGTTGCAAGATCACATCGTTTTTTTTTTAAATAACAAAACCCATTTAACGTATGAACTTACTTGGCGTTGACATACATGGGGTGTGAGTCCTCATTCCTAGTACTGACATTTTATCTAATCTCTTCAAAATTTCAAGATCACTAATAACGACGATACCAGACCACCAAGAGTGATGCTGAAGTGTATTTGTATTACTTCCTAGCAGGGAGTGCCGCGGCTTGGTGTATGAAATGTATGGTGGTATATAGAACTGAATAAGTGTTGTGCATAATTTGTGCTAGCGCTTTTCTGGGTGCAACTTAAGGTTTGAATGTCATCTAACTTAAGTTCTAATGTAACAAAATTCTCCTGCATCAAATGTGGGAACGACATTCGCCTTTTTCAAGACAGCCTTAATGGTCGGAGGGGCAATTGGTACCAAACGTGAAGTACGATAAATGGTAGCGAAACCGACGTGTTATCGTTGAGGCCATCCAAGTACATGGTTAGTATTGCTCCAGCGGCGGTTCCCTTTCTCCTCATATTCGGCATTTCAAGTGCATGCTACTTTTTGCTATGACCCGCACGCACAGTTGCGTCAAGCTAAATTTGGCAATAATATTACTTAAGAACGTCCCGAGACCAGCCTCAAGAACGCCTTGTTCCGCAGTGACAACCAATCAGTGCCATTTGTAGCAATTATATATATATATATATATATATATATACATATATAATTGTGTAGAATAGTCGAGACTGGTGAGCGATCACTACGTGAATGCGGTTGTTGAAACCTGTGAATTTCTTACATTCGTCGCCAGCTGCCGCCTGACGCATCGGTTTAGAGCCAATCTGCATTTAGTCTGATGAACTTGAGCGTTCTCCCGGCATGACATCATTAGCTGGTCTTGCCTTTCCAGCTGAATACGCTTTGAAAAGATGCTGGCGACATCTTAATGAATGAGGAGAAGCTGAATGGCATGAAAGTATAGTGCTAAAGCGTTAAAATGCCTTGTGTGGCGTAGAACAATCTAGGCGATAACAGTTGGAAAATTTTCCATTCATTATATCGGGTGTGCAGAGAGCTAAGATAGTGAAGTCATATATTTAGCGACAAATGCTAACATTTAGCGGCCTGGCTTTCGCCCCTATCACCGGGCTACACTTGAGGCGGTCTGTACAGAATATTAGAGGAAGGAAATAATCTGCGGCATTTCGGTTGTGTGCACCTATATGTAATGTCATGACCTATTTTTTTTTTTAATTGGTTTGTGTCTGTGACGCTTATCAAGTACACTCAATATTCGCTCCAGCGATGGCATGTATTCATACTCATATCATGTCTTCATCTGCTCTGGCTGGAGAGAGATCTGACAAAAAAGTAATATAAAAACCCAACCCGCTCCCAAACGCGTGCATCCCTGGTTTGCCACTGCAATGCAAGATCACCTGTAATCATCATTTCAAAGTTCCATCCATGCGGTTGTCCGTTCGCTCCTCCACCAGGATATGTTAGTCTCGCGCCGCTATGTCATTGGGTTGTCGAAATCTATCCTCCGACGGGACCTTTTTTTAATATTTTTGCAGTTGAACTATTTTAGCGTTCCATTTGGCGGAAAGCCTCTTGTACCTCGGGCATTTTGATTATTTGAGCTGCATGCGACCGCCAAGCTCCAGGGAAGGTGATGTATGATGCAGCAGGGACGTCACTTTAAGGGTTTTTCAGGGTGTCCAAGCTTCCGACCAATGCTGGCTTGTCCCCTCATGCATTGGGCCCAAAAAGCAAATCCTGAGCTAAGGACATGCATGCAATTTTCCTGAGCCGTTGGTACATGGATACCTCAGCAGATAAGTCACAATCTTTTTGAGCCACGTTGCCACCGACGAAATGACGTGCATTTTACCCTTCAACAACATACTCCGTCCCTATTCCTGTATCGTTTCGGCTGTCGCTTGAGACTGACCCATCATCTTATAATGACTAGTTCATCGCTTCCTAGCTAGTGTTAAATGCCTTTTTTATATGTTTCCGTCACATCCGTCGAAGCCCTGTATTTTTGCCGCTCTTGTCTTCTAGGTGTGCCTTGGTGGCGGCCTTCCCCTGTCGAAGGGCACACCGCGCCAGTGCTTCAGAGAAATTGATGGGGAGCGGTTAGAACTAGAGCAGAGCAGAGCTACCCGTTCGGGCTGCTGTCGTCATTCTCGCTCCATCATGATATCGTCGTCTACGTGTTTCGTTTAGTTCGTCTCAGTTTAACGCTCTTATCATGCTCTTTGGCAGAAAGATATCTCAAATAGTTAACATCAAGTTTTAATTCTTTTCGGCGTTGTGTACTTAATAAATGGTCTTCTGGTCCCCACCGTGTAATGGACCAGTAAATGCCTATATGAGCCGGTAAACCTTGAACTTAGCACTGGACGGTAGTTAGCTCCGATGCAGGGATGGAAGGAGCCGGTACGCCGTAGTGAAAGTGAGCTCGAAACCTAAAGTATCAACAGCCGCATGTTCTCCCGAGCGAGCCAGGCGCGCTGAAAGGTCGAACTCTCGAGGCCCAAGATTGAGGAGACTTAGACAATAGAGGTCCGCGCCCGGAATCAAGCAGAGCTAGAGCCCAGCGTGCCCAGGAGCAAACGGAGTGAGAAGCCCAGCGTTCCTGGAGGCATGTGGCTGAGCTGGTGCAGCTCGCCGTAGACGAGTAGGAGAGAAACCAGCTCGAGCTGCGGCTGGCAGAAGAAGAGGAAGCTCCAGCACCTTCAGGGAGAAGCTGCTCCCTAGGCGAGACAACCGTGACGCTCTGCCCTGCTGACGCGCCACGACATCTGTCATTGCAGCTACGATTGGTTGCATCAGCTTTGCCAGTCACAAACATGCAGGAGCGCATAGGGAGCTGGATCGAGTGGCCCTCCAGCCGCTCGGAGGCTGTGGCCTCGCGAGCCTAGCTCATGGGCTCGACACTGCGCTGCCAAAGCTCAAGCTCGAGAACGTCAACGACGTGCCGCTGGAGTGGCGTCGGTGGAGCTCGATGTTCAGGGCACCGGTGCACTATCATCAGGGCCTGAGCGATGCAAAAAAGTTGACCCATTTGCAGTCGTGTCTGCCTAGGGAGGCTTGTGCAGCGGTTAGAGGTCTGCTCTGCAATGATAGCTTTACCATGAAGCCCTCAGCGAACTCGAGCGCCATTTTGGCGACCCTGGATATGTGGTGCGCGCTCATCTGGACCGGGTGCTTGCCACCTCTCCAGTCAAGCACAACGATGTCAGCTCTCTGCGTGCCTTGTCAACGACTTTTCACAACATTGTAAAGGTGTTGAGCTCGACGTGGTGTGATGCCGACCTGGCTGCGACAACCAAACCTCAGCCGGTCGTTGCCGAACTTCCCCACGCCGTGGCCTGGCGCTGGAGCGAACAGGTGGTCATCAGCCGCCCGTGCCGCCGACGTTCCCCGACTTTGACGCCCAGCTGCGTTTCTACGTCGACGCAGCACGTGCCGTCGGCTTCACGGAACCGGACGACAGGCACAAGGGCATGGACCAGCCGAGGTTGTGGTCGCACAATCAGCGCATGCACGCATCGCCTCCGGTGACGGCCGCAGCTAGGGCCGGGCCGCTCGGACAGCCAGTGCGGGAGAGTGTGAAGTGCGACCAGCCCCACACAGTGCTTGAGTGCCTGTCACCTGCGAGGTCGGGGTCAGCGAGCGCGCTGAACTGGTGAGGCATTATACATTGTGCTGAGTCCGCCTGACTGACGGACACGAGGCGCGTCGCTACCCGCTTAAAAGATCGTGCAAGGCGACACGAGAATGGCGGGAGCGACACCACCCGATGCTCCACGTGGCTCCGCGGCTCCCTTCGCCTGACCGTTGACTAGGAGCCGCACGAGCGGGTCGCGCGGCAGTGGAGCACCGAGTCTTTCGGGTAAAAACACGAAAGTGTCCCGACGGTCGAAGCAGGACAGTGTAGCGCTGGACGTGCTGAACAAACTACAAGACGAGCCGTCGGGCACTACGAGACAGGTCTGCCGTGGAGGCCTCCGACGATACTCCCCCCCCCCCCCCCGGCAGTTTCAGTAACCTGACGCGTACATTCCGGTCTACGGAACGCAAGCTGGGTGGAAACCCGAAGCTGGTGCAGGCGCATAGTACTGCCATCCAGGAATACATTCGTGAAGGCCACGCGGGTAAGCTCCCGCGTCAGAATTCGAAGCGCAGCACGAGCGGGAATGATACCTTCCGCACCACGCCGTTCCCAGTGCGCACTAACCGGGAAAGGGGCGTGGAGTCTTCGACGCTGCAGCGCGTTACGGCGGGATATCGCGTAACGACAAATTGCTGGCTGAACCTGACGAACAGTTTGGTCCGACTCATGCGGCTCCATCAACGTCCGGTTGCGCTCACTGCAGACATCAGGCGATGTTCCACCAAGTCCGCGTGAGACCGGCCGATCAGCCTACTCTCGAGTCACTGTGGCGCGAGGGGATGATCGTGAGAAGCTGCTTAATGCATGCCAGATGCAGGTGCTGATTTTCGGAGTGACGCCATGTCCCCGCTCGGCCACGTGCGTCCTGCGGCAGTGTACGGATGACATGCAGAGCCAATATCCGGTCGCATCCGCAGCCGTGGCTGGGCAGTTCTACGTGGACGATTACCAGGACTCTCTGAAAGACTTCAGCGAATCCGCCGCCATGCAAGGCTCTTTCACTCCTCTGTTGAAGACCGACGGGTTTCAATTTGTAAAGTGGGCCAGCTCATCTCTCGAAGCGCTGAACGTGGTCAAGGTCAAAACCCACAGAGTAGCCACTCTATACCTCGATCTTGCCGGGTTGCAGCACGGAAGGGAGCTGGGTTCATCCGGCCAACGCATTGACGTTCGAAGCCACTGGCGTCAGCGAACCGGATGCGAAGATGGTCATTCTGAGCAGCGTATCGTCGGTCTTCGATAGGCTTGGGGTCTCACCCTTCGACGGTACGGTAAGTACCCGTAGGACATCTGGCGGTGCGGATATGCGTGGGACGCCACAACCATCCACCATAAGCTGGCGACTGCCAGACGGCGGTGGGTTAGCGGGCTGCCTGGATAGGACCGCTGCGAGGTCGACCGATGTCCCCCATCCGACGGCCGGATGCTCGTCAGCTGCCGGCTGCACGTGTTTGACGGCGCTTCTGAGCTAGTGTTCGGCGTCGTCGCCTATTTCCGGCTGGAGTGTAAAGGTGGCAAGATCGTTACGTCGTTCGTCATGGCGACAAAACCGGGTCGCTCCGCTCCGACAGCTTAGCATGTCACGCTTGGAGCTGCAGGCTGCCGAGTTGGCCGTTCATGCTGCACAGGTCATCCGGCGCCAGCATGACATCCGTATCGACTCCTGCCACTTCTGGTCCGCCTCGAGGGCAGTCATCTAGTGAGCCGACAACACCGGACCTTTGTCGTCAGCCGCGGCACCGAGATCTAAGAGATGGCAAACGTCGCGGCCTGGCGGCACTGTCCGGAGCTTCTGATCTCTGTGGACGTCTGATTGCGTTTCTGCAGCATCCCAGAACTCCTGGACGGTCCCAGCCGACGCGGTAGGCCGGGGCTCCTGAGCCGACCGGACAGCGGGTGACGAGCGGTCATCGGGCGGCAGCTGAGGACCAGCCGCCGGGCAGCTCCGAGCCGGAGCGGCGCCCAAGCGGAGCCGGAGCGGAGTCGGGCCTGCGGCACAGGGACCGGAGAGTTTCCTGGCGCCGGAGAGGTAAGCAGCCTGGCTGAAACTCCTGCGAACGACAGCTTGGCTACTGCGATTCGGCAGGAGCTGCCGAAGCCCCATAAGGAGCGCCAGACGGCCCTCCCATAGCTGCTGAGTCCCGCGCAGTGGAGATGGCGTGCGTCCAATATGCCGAATCGGCGCCTTCTCTGCAGAGCAGACAACACTAAAAGCGGACCGACAGCTGCCGCGCTGTAGTCAGCTCATCTCGCTCCGACTGTTCCTCGATAGCAGCGTCGTCGAGAGAGCCGGAGGACGGCGGAACCTCGCTCCCTCCCTGACAGACGCAACCCGACACCAGGCTATTATTCCCTCCCGTAGTGACGTCACGCATCTCTTCGTCATGGACAGCCATCGCCGACGGGCGTACGTAGCCACGATACATTATAGCCTTAAAGCATTAGAAGTCGCTATTTTCTGGAAACGGACTCACCGACAATGTGTGTGCGGTGCATGATCGCGCCGTGCCGTCAGCCCAAAGTGGTCTACTCCGAAAATAGTACAAATGTGTGCGGGAACGAGAGAGATCTAAAACGGTCACTCAAGGAATGAGATCAGGAGAGGATCACTCACCAGCTCAACCAACGTTGGATCGGGCGGTGGCTCATCCCGCCTGCCTCGCCCCACTTCGGCGGTGCATGGGAGCGGCTCGTCGAGTCAACAAAGGGGCCCTGCGGTTCGATGTGAGTCAGCAAGCCCCGATAGGTGAGACTCCCGTCATCTTCATGACTGAAGTTGAAGCCGTTCTGAATGGGCAGTCACTGACTCACGTTAGCAGTGAGCCAGACGACCTGAAACCCCTGAAGCCGAACCAACTGTTAAAGGAAATGTTCCACATTTGTAAGGAGTTTTTCAGTGTCCTGGAATTGCCGACTTTGAGTGTAAAGCAGCACTCTATGGGGAGGAATTTTTCACTCCTCTTTCCCACATTTTATGTGAATTTTTCACTCCTGCCTGACATTGTCTAATCGCACATGCCAAACCACTATTTCCCTTTCTGAGGTTGTCAGATGTTATCCAAAACCGAGCTCTACCACCTTTTTCTACTAACGTATTTTTTACAGACAGCTCGGTTGGCACCTCGTGTACCGGAGCGCAGAGCCTTGCACGGGCTTATGGGTTAGCAAGGCATTATGAAATTAGGGAAACTTTACAGTACTTATAGATATACATTTCGCTAACTAATTTCTCACATATTGTACGACAAATTTCAATCTTGAGCAAAAAATTGTGCTTTACAAGTGCAACCTCTTGAGCTGTATTAACATGAATTCCCCATTGGGACTTTGATTTCAAGGGAGGTGATGGTGAAATGCGGTGTTATAACCGAAAATCTGTGCGGAAACTGCGAGAAAACCTACAATTTGACAGTCCCGCGAGCTGTGCAAATATACGATCATACTTATTTGACAAAAGTGTGTGAATCAGGGGCATGAGATGTGTGTGATTACGGGTGGTGCGTGCCAGTGGCTTGCATTGATCTTGATGTGACGGGGAGTATGCGTGCGGGGTTTGCACTTCCGAGGGAGAATATTGTCTTGCTGATTATTGTTAATATATACATACATATATATATATAATATATATATATATATATATATATATATATGTGTGTGTGTGTGTGTGTGTGTGTGTGTGTGTGTGTGTGTGTGTGTGTGTGTGTGTGTGTGTGTGTGTGTGTGTGTGTGTGTGTGTGTGTGTGTGTGTGTGTGTGTGTGTGTGTGTGTGTGTGTGTGTGTGTGTGTGTGTGTGTGTGTGTGTGTGTGTGTGTGTGTGTGTGTGTGTGAATTTCCTATTCTTTAAGCTTGCTGACTCCCAATAAAATGCGATATATCGATACCTGCCTCTTCCTTTCTGTTTGTGCTTGAACATGACAAAGAAGTGCCGGCAAACTAAAAGAAACATATGCGCATATGGTGCCGGGGTGTACAAAGGCAATATGTTACTTTATTATGATCTTACCAACATTTTGAACCTATTGAGGTATTATAGCATGTAATTAACCTATTGCATGTCATTATATCAGCAACTCACTTTGGCGGAAGGGGCTGGTGTGTGCAGCTCATTAATGGGCATGCTCAGTATACGCTCACACGATATGGCTTTGCAAAATTGTCTTTCCCTAAATAATTCTGAAAATATAGAGCTCTATTATTATCGATTCACTTTCTACTGTGTTAACAAATATTGTTTGCCGGGGAGCATTGCTTGTGAGTCATCAATGTCATAGTCACCGCAACTTGTGTGAGATGATGGATGCTGAGAAAAGTGGAAAAGTATTGATGTTGGTGTCTTGGATAGCACTCAATAACATTTTTCATGAGCCTTGAGTGCACTGGCAGCTTCATCACTTCCTTGCATTTTGCCCATCCAACGAAAACTAACTGCAGTTGTCATGTTTGCCGCCCTATGCAGGGTCAGCATGTTTGCAGTGTCGTTTCACCA